CAGGAGAATGGCGTGAACCCGGGAGGCAGAGCTTGCAGTGAGCTGAGATCCGGCCACTGCACTCCAGCCCGGGCGACGGAGCGAGACTCCGTCTCAAAAAAAAAAAAAAAAAAAAAAGATTTGGTATCCCCATTATAAAAGGAAAACAAACCTATTTCCTAAGATTCCTGTGACAGTTCAGTGAGATAACAAGCACGTATTTTAGTAAATACTAGTTCCCTTCTCCTGTGGCTCCCTCCCACATCCACCCAACTACATACTCTTCCAGTATTTCGGCCTGGTCTCTGCTCCATGTTGTTCGAGAGTCTCTCCTCTATATCCATATTGCTGTTATTATCTTTGTCAGATAAGAAGTCATTGTGCTGAGATAAAGAATCACTTTCTGAATGATTGGCTGATGGTGTTTCTGCTCTCTGATTGGCAGGAGATGATGACCTAGATGGTGATTCCAAAAATTTCTTGATAGCAGGATGATTAAAAACCATTGTATCACATGTCTTTGATCCCTACAAAAAAATGAAAGCAACCAAATAAATTTTTAATCAAATCCATCAAAAGCAGGTAAAAATCTGATGTCTCCAAAACCTCATCTATTACAGGATCATGCTTAAAATCTTTCAAAATCTCCCCACATTCATAAAATGATATCCCAACCCCTTAACACAGCCTAAACCAACAAAACAAAAATTAGAATGATAATAATTATGTAAAGCTTCTAACACAAACAGCTAGAGATGTAGGGTCTTCCGGAGGTAAATAAGAAATAATACATGTTAACATAGAAAATAAAATCTGACTTTAAAAGTCTCACATTGCTTTACACAAACATATCAACTGCTCTAAATAAAATATCCCTGAAAGAAATATAAAAATAAAAAGCTGTATATATAAAATGGTCCCCACACAGGAGTAAAATGTATTAGAGAATATTTTTGAATGACTGATACTGATGTATAAAGTTTGCCTTCAGTTCAGTACAGACATCTATGGAATTTTTCTGTGTCTTAGTTACTTGCATACAAAATAAAGTGTATTCTGTTACAATGTGATAACACTATAGTCATGTTTCTAGGAAGCCTAGCTTTTAAAAACTGTGTTATTAAACTAATGGTTTCAGTAAGAAAAAAGGAAGCAGAAGCTAGTGTTTCAAAGCAACAAAGTTCTTGAATTTGAATAATAAAGGTTTTTCAGAGCTATAAATATGTTTTGCCACTGAAAACTAAAAATAATTAAACGGTCGATCACGAGACAAAAGCATACCTAAATATATTTGAATAAATCCTAATCAGAACATAAGAGGATAAAATCAGCGTATTTCTAGACTATCAAATATCACAGATCAGAAATGCTAACAATTCAAAGATAGAATCATTGCTCATGTAATTAAGTTAAGGTGAAGTCAGTGAAGTCCTCCTCGCTTATAAGAGGGAAACTTGGACAGAGACACGCAGAGAAGACACACAGAGGGAAAACAGCCACATCATGACAGAGGCAGAAATTACAGCAGGGAAATACTAAGGATTGCCAGCAACCTTCAGAAGCTGGAAGAGGCAAGGAAAGATTCTTCCCTGGAGCCTTCGGAGGGAGCACTGCCCTGTTGACACCTTGATTTTGGACTTCTAGACTTCAGAATAGTGAGATAATAAACCCATCCTTTTACATCACAAAGCTCATGGTAGGTAATTTGTTATGGTAGCCCTAGGAAAATGAATACGATTCTAACATGCATCTTGGAAACTGTGCTACACTAAAAGCACCTGTCTACCGTTTACAATTCAACTCAAACAATGCTTTAGTTTCTACAAGACAGCATCAGGAACAGCACGAATACCAGGTGCCCCTAGAGCATGTAACATGAGTAACATGAAGGCCTAAACAGGACAAGCACCATTTACTGTTAGCCTCCAGCCCTTCCCTGGTTCCCAGGGAGCCAGCACTACTCCAGAGATGATTCAGCGGAGACTAATTCTAGCTGAAAACACTTAGGAAAAAGAAAGTAAAAAAAGAAAAAAAAAAAAAAACAAATGAAAGTTATGCTGAAATTATCAAAATATCAAATAGGAAGACATACTCCTATTTCAGGTCAATCCTAACCCCTATGCCTGAATTTAGACAGATTACTAGGATAAAGGAGCAGATACTTTTCATTTAC